GGATACCATTATCAGAACTGGACTAAATTGAAATGGGACCACACGGGAAGCGTCAGCTTTCTAATAAAAAAAAGAATCATGAAAATCGATTCACCCATGAGGTAACAGGTAACAAACATAAAGAAAACATACAGTCGAATTGAGAACCTCCTCCTTTTTTGAAGTCTGTTAAAATTCTAAACTAAAACTATATTGAAACCCACTGAGTTACTCGCCGGATCGTCTGTAGGTCGCGAATGTACCTACCCTATGGTAGATTTTGCGAAACAGTGCTCTTGCTACGGCTAGTGTTTGCAAGCTTTCTTAGGCTGAGTCCGTTAGCTCACCTACCTGATCGCGCGAAGGTGGAATAGTCCCTTAAGTCACCAGCGAATATGTATGGATTTTTTTTTTAAGATTGACGGCACATGCCTCTTTCAATTCCTATCAAAAGCTTTTGATATCTACTAGAGGTCCCGCAGTAGTCGAAATTCGACTATAATTAATTGGAATTGTAAGTTTGTACACTATTATGATTGTATTTTATACTTCTATAATCACAAATTTCGCCAAGACTACAGTATAAGAAATATTAACAAAGACAAACAATATTTAATCTCAATTTGACAACAGACGTCAAGAACAAAAGCTTGACAATAAATAGTATGCATGCGTGTGTGCGTCAAATATATGGTATGTAGTGTGTGTAATGTTTTCTTTATTGATTTAACGTATCTTTTATGCATTATTTAAAAAAAAAATATGCAATTTGCACTTCTTCTCTATACTCTCTATAAGTGTGGAAAATTTCATACTCCTCCGACCGCGCAATTTTCGTAAAAAGGGATACAAAGTTTTTGCTTCACGTATTAATATATAGATAATAAATCAGGAAGTAAGAAGAATGAATTAGTTTGTGCCGACAGTTTATTTCATTAATCATTTATAAACATTTTTTCAATGCTTGCCATCAGTGTGCTCAGTGAGAGTTTTTTAACGTTCTCGATAGCGTAAAAGTTAGCTAATATTTGTTAGGAATAGTATCGTTTGCGTACGTTTGCCGCTAGGGGCGCTGTTCCAACTGCATACAAAGTTAGGTTAACTTTTACGCTATCGAGAACGTTAAAAAACTCGCACTGAGCACACTGTCCACTGATGCTTCTACAAAACTGCACGAACACTGCGAATCACCTACGAATAATTTTGTATCTATATTCTCTATGCGTTTCTAAAGCATTTATTCAATTGTAAAGAAATATAGTACCGTTGTTATTTGTACTCTAGGAAAGGTTTGTGTCATAGTACCACCAACGGACGATAGATGTCGTGCGAGTAGCTTCAATAAATCAGCGTTTTTCGTACACCTAGCGATACGGACATAGCAGTGTGATCGAATCCACTAATCTACTTAAAATATTAGATTGGGTGTTAAAGTAAATTCTAAAGTCCAAAAGCCCCCTCCACTTAAGACGGAGACCTCATTTTTTACTGGTGGTCGGACTTCTTGTGAGTCCGCACGGGTAGGTACCACCACCACCTTATTTCTGCCGTTAAGCAGTAATGCGGTTCGGCTTGAAGGGTGGGACAACCGTTGTAACTATACTGAGACCTTAGAACTTATATCTCAAGGTGGGTGGCGCATTTACGTTGTAGATGTCTATGGGCTCCAGTAACCACTTAACACCAGGTGGGCCTTGAGCTCGTTCACCCAACTAAGCAATCAAATTAAAATAAGATGTTAAATCTTCGACCCAAAATTTTTTTTTCGGTTTTTGATCAATTATCATTACGATAATGCCATTATCCACATTGATACTTGATGCCCAAGTCCTTAAAACGACCGTCCTCTTGATTGAAGACTCGATCAGCTTGTCTTACGTGCCCTTCACATTGTCGATATCCACGACTGACAAATTACTAGACTAATAAACTCGTCTGCAGTGGCTGATTACACACACACAAACACAAGCGCGAAAATTAAACCTATCATTCTGGTACTATCAGACAGGTTTTATTACATTGTTTTAAATGGCACTTAGGTAATTAGCCCCTTCTCTCACAGTTCTGTGTTTAATTGTTTTTATAAATCACATATTGATTTCTCGTGTCTGCAACGTATTCTCAGTTTCTGATTAAGCTTCATTCCAGGTGAGATTGGGTTCCGTTTTGCAGAGGGGGTAGGGGAGCTTAACTTCACACCCTTGTTACTATAACGTGATTAAGTTCATTGCGGGATCCAAGGCAAGTCAGCTTTCGTGAACATCCTCATTCAGTCTTTGGTATAGTCGTTGTTTTGTGCAACTCCTGCCTAGCGAGACAGGACTTGCAATTATGGAAGAGGGTGGCGCAAAAATAATAGCTGCAAACGATTTTCTTAAGGACGCAAAAGTATTTTATTTTTACGGCACTTCCAACAGATTCATCTCGGATACTTCATTTGAGTTAATAATAATTTGGAATAGTTAGAATGTTTGATACTTTCTCACAACTGTTCCTTGATGACCACCAGGACAATTCATATTTTTCTAAATTCATTTTGTTGGAATTTGAATATGTAAGTAATGGCAGGCAACACTTGACACATGTAAGGTTACAGATTTCGAATATTACAATTCTTATTTAAATGTTTAAAACAGATAATTGTCTTGAGTGATGACAATGACTTCTCATCCAGACACGGACAGTGCAACATCTTAGGGTTTTATAAAAACTAGAGGTCCCGCAGTAGTCGAAATTCGACTATAATTAATTGGAATAATAAGTTTGTACACTATTATGATTGTATTTTATACTTCTCTAATCACAAATTTCGCCAAGACTACACTATAAAAAATATTAACAAAGACAAACAATATTTAATCTCAATTTGACAACAGACGTCAAGAACAAAAGTTTGACAATAAATAGTATGCATGCGTGTGTGCGTCAAATACATGGTATGTAGTGTGTGTAATGTTTTCTTTATTGATTTAATTTACCTTATAGGCATTATTAAAAAAAAAATTAGCATTGTACACTTCTTCTCTATATCCTCTATAAGTGTGGAAAATTTCATATTCCTCCGTCCGCGCAATTTTCGTGAACAGGGATACAAAGTTTTTGCTTCACGTATTAATAAAAATAAAATATTGTAATAATGTAATAGTGTACAAAGTTTTTGCAATATAATTATATTAACCATGTAGCTGAGTGTTTTTAAATAGCCCCTCACCTACAGAGCCCAGTCCCCTTAAATTTGACCCTCCAACAGGTCTTTTTTTTTTTATATTTAGATTCAACACATTTAGATTCAACACGAACAAAATGAGATACAACCTAAAAACAATAAACAAGCGTCTGATTACCATGGCGACAGGTTTTTTGCCAGCATCAACAATGTCAAATGCAAATTAGTTGCCAGCTATGGATCGGTTTTTACATTAGTCTGCATTTTGATATGTCATTAACGAATAAGAGGTAAAATTTTGTATTTATTTTTTTCAAAACAATCCTTAATGACCACGTAACCTCTGAGACTATTTAAGAGATTCTCTTGAGAACTTTAGAATTTTTTATTTCATTCTATCGGCAAATGAAGCAAAATATTTTATTTTATGCAATACGATACGACATTGCAACAAGATATGCAATAAAATCGATTCAAATTTTTGAGGGAATCTTTTTTGAAGAAAGTTCCCCGCATCCCTTTCCGATTTTTTGAGTGGGATTTGCTAACAGCTGCTCGAGCGCCTCCGAAGCAGACCTAGCAGCTCAAAGGCAACTGCTTCGCGACTGTATCTATTACTGGATCACGACTCGCTGGGAAGATCCTGCTAGAAACTTAGCAGGCTTTTTTTTATTGCTTAGATGGGTGGACGAGCTCACAGCCCACCTGGTGTTAAGTGGTCACTGGATCTCATAGACATCTACAACGTAAATACGCCACCCATCTTGAGATATAAGTTCTAAGGTCTCAAGTATAGTTACAACGGCTGCCCTACCCCTTCAAACCGAAACGCATTACTGCTTCACGGCAGAACTAGGCAGGGTGGTGGTACCTACCCGCGTGGACTCACAAGAGGTCCTACCACCAGTAATTACGCAAATTATAATTTTGCGGGCTTAAATTTTTATTACACGATGTTATTCCTTCACCGTGGAAGCCAGTCGTGAACATTTGTAGAGTGCGTATTTCATTAGAAAAAAAACACGAATGCACCGGACGTCTTATCCTTTAGGCCACGACATATTAACAATATTAAGAGAAACAAATCTATTTAATTAAAATTGCCAGTTCTATGCGGGAGCTTACTTTACATAATATAATATATTATAGAGGGCATTCAACCGCTGATCCTGATAGACCAATATCCGTTTTTCACAATAAAGTATAATTTAAAAACAAACACGTCCAACCATCTAAGCAATAAGCTCGTCCAACCATCTAAGCAATAAATAAAAAAATATGAGTTCAGTTTTCGCACATCCACCACGCAAACGATTCGAAGACTACGTACAATTATTTAAAATTCTTGTAAAATTAATGCTTAAAAAAAGGTACTTAAATATTGGCTGTTTCGACCCATTCATAATACTATAAAATGATAAGGATTGAGTTGATCATATTAATTAAGTGACGCGTTTTAATTCACAGCACTACAAACAGTTTTATTCATATATCGCAACCGATAACAAATGTACATATTATATGAATATGTACGAGGACAAACGAAAAAAAATTATCGTGAAATATTTAGAAGACCGCAGCGGTCAACATCAAACTTAGTTATTTAAAAAAAAAAAAGTAAAAAAAAAAAATCAACAGATAGCTCTACAGAGATAAAAAAAAATTAACAAAGTTCATTAACAGTCAATGATAACATTTAGAGGAAAAGGGTCACGAACGAACACTTCTTAAAAATATCATGTATCCGTGCTCTCTGTGACAGTTATAATGAAATATTTCGGCCTTATTATTTTTATAGTCGGTGAACATATTTTTTATTAATCGACAATATTTGATTGGAGCTTCGGTAACTCACCTCCACTTTCGCAGTGTCGCGCCAAAACGATAAAACAGATTGCAATCAAACACCTCATTTCACTCAATCCTCAATCACAACACTGTTTAGCACGCGAGAGGTCCACCTCCCAACGGAGTCAAGACACAACTGATAGTCCGTGCCGTCAACATCTCCTGATATACTCCTACGCAACTTTACATTTACCGTTGACGAATAAAAAATTTATAACCTCACAAGCGTTTAGTGAGACTGAAGAGTTTCCCGCGTTTTTTTTGATGGCAAAATTATGTTTGTCAAATGGATTTGTAATTATGTTTTTTTTTTTTTATTCTTAATTGCGCTCAGTGTTTTTGTATGGGTAATGGGACGATCGTACGGGCGTGGTTTGATATCGACCTCTGCACGATTTGTGTGATGATAATGATTCTCGGAAACCTAAACTGCATTCCGTATTGGGCGCTATCCGTTTTCGATGACTGACTGGAACAACTGAATCGACATTTTGTGTATCGATTATTTTAATGTCACTACATAATGCGTGTGGTATTGTGATAGGATACTTTTTTTTTTTTTCGAAATTCGATTTAGTCGGTTCGCCGTCATATCCATCTCCCTAATGAGCGTTTTTTTGTTAATAATTTTTCATAAAATTTTCATAAAAAATTCATTTCATTAAAAATCATAAAATTGATCACAAATACACTGTTGAAATTTTTATTTATTGTTGATATTTCACAAGTTCGGACTGCCTCAAGAAAAATGGCGTTGAGAGGAAATGCTGATGTCAGGTAATTCAAAGCATGAAAAGAGCAAACAGGACACGACGAAATCCCTACTTAATCCAAAACTAGACGAAGACTTCGACTATTGTCAGGATGACTGTAGTCTTGCAAAGACAGATCTGCAAATCGATATCAGAAATACTCCTCCGCTTTTTTTTTATTGCCCTTGTAGGCAGACGAGCATACGGCCCACCTGATGGTGAATGGTTACCGTCGCCCATGGACTTCAGCAATGCCAGGGCTGGCGCCTTGGCTCTGCAGCCAAGCCGCTGCCTACCGTTGAGTACTCTCCACCATCCTCGTTTGAAGAAGGATACCTGATTTAGCATTTCACGCAAGTTAACTCTTTCGTATACCTAAGATGTGTGAAATTCTGTTAAGTCAACAGACAGACAGACGACAGCCCTGAAACATCATATTTTATTACTGGTGGTAGGGCGTTTTGTGAGTCCATCACGTTCCGATAGCCTTTCGAAGGTACTAGCATTTTTTTTTTTAATTATTGCACAGATAGGTGGATGAGCTCACAGCCCACCTGTTGTTAAGTTGTTAACGGAGCCCATAGACATCTACAACGTAATTGCCGCCACCTACCTTGAGATATAAGTTCTAAGATCTCAGTATTGTTACAACGGCTGCCCCACCCTTCAAACTGAAACGCATTACTGCTTCGTGGCAGAAATAGGCGGGGTGGTGGTACCTACCCGTGTGGACCCGGACAACAAGTGACTTTCCTTCATAGTGTGTTGTGGTCATAGGTGGCACGGGCCGCATGGTATAGACCACCACCAACCGCTTTCTTAACCAGGTCTGACCATCTGACTGGTGTTCTGCCCACGGCGCGCTTGCCCTCCATGCGACCCGCAATTACCCGCGTCCAATACAACAATGCGTTCAGGGTGTTGTTGGGGCTGCCTCGGTTCTGTAGCGCGTCGGGAATGTTCGCCGAGGCACGAGTCGACTGTTTCTTTACGACCATGCGGAAAAGATGCACATCCCTGATTGGCCGGGTCCGGGTCAGCCCTAACAGCATCCTGAAAGCATTAACAGACCGTTATGACTGTCGGTACTTGAACCATTGTACCATGGTTCACTTGCGGACTAAATAATATTAGTAATAATAATGGTTGGTTCGAAGTAGGTATCAGCGGAATGGAATATTTGAAATGTATTCCACTGATAGCTACTTTTAATAAGTGTATATTTTTTATTTGATTGGTTTTGTTAATGTTAAGTATATTTCAATGATACTATGTACACATATGGACTTATTGTTGTCTGAAATAAAATAAATCTCTCATTCATTCATTCATTATGAGCTTCTCTAATTCATGTAATACTGGCAATAGTTAGACAAAATTACCCATTGTGAGCCCGCATGGCTCTCCTGGCTCTCCTGTAAAGATGCAAAAATGTCGCTTAGATCAAATAACCTTTCACCCCGCGATATCTTGAAGGTAGATTTCGCTTTGCAACGGATCTAGTAAAATGTGGATCTAAACCTATAGACTGTTTGCTCACATAAATATATCACACGATCTATTATTTTATACAAATAACAGCGTCGATCAGGAAGGAGCCAAGTTTGTAGGGTTTCTCAAGCGCTCAACACCAATCAATCAATTCAAAGATCACAATCGCTTTCTCAGATGACTACCCGAGACCAGGGTGAACTGATAAAATTGTATTATGCACTGAATATTTCGTATAACATATTACCACAGTTAAAAATTATTATGAATTCTTAAACATTTGTAAACAGTTCCTTATTTTATTTTTATCTTTATACAATAAACATAGGTGTTGATAGTCTCTAGTATGTAGTGTATAATCTGTGGGCGATAACCTAAAAGACGTGACGTCCAAGAGAATTACGCAAAATATTTATATTTAGGAAAACATTGTTGTATATTATAGGCTCGGTTTAACCGACTTCAAAATAAAGAACAAATGTCTTAATTAATTTATGATCATATTAAAATCAAAATCCTAGTTCATTCTACCACCACTGCTGAATATTGGAATTATAAATAGGGAATGAGAGAAATTATGAAAATCGATACTGCCTCAAATTAGTCCGAAGCTAGTACTTTCTACTTACTAATAATGGAGATGCAATAAATGGAGATTCTAGGGCCGCCTTTTTCTCTACAGATAACTCGATTTAAAATCAAAATCTCCGAAAAAATTCGACCACTTAAAACTACAAGGGATTCGAAATGTCGAACCTGTAGAAAAAAATATAGACATGTATATAACTGCGTAATTCTTACGTGCATTCTTAGCGCATTGGAACTTTGAAACCTTGGAGCATTGGAACTTGTAGTCTAATCGGTGTTAACTTAGTTACCCATTGTGGTAGGACCTCTTGTGAGTCCGGGCGGGTAGGTACCACCGCCTTGCCTATTACTGCCGTGAAGCAGTAATGTGTTTCGGTTTGAAGGGTGGGGCAGCCGTTGTAACTATACTGAGACCTTAGAACTTAAATCTCAAGGTGGGTGGCGCATTTACGTTGTAGATGTCTATGGGCTCCAGTGACCACTTAACATCAGGTGGGCTGTGAGCTCGTCCAACCATCTAAGCAATAAAAATAAAATAAAAAAAGATAAGGAAGGCGAACTAACATGCGAGTTCTAACTAGCCAAGCTTTTTAAATTAATTGGATAGCAATGAGCACTTTAAGTTAAAGAAAACAAGCTCTGAAAAATATAAAATACAGCCCAAAACACGTCATAACGGATCCTCCCGATCCATTAACGATGCTTTTAGGTACTACAAGCACCGGTCACCGTCCTCGTCGAACCCGTCGCTTGCAACGAAGGGCTCGACGAGCGAATTGACCCACAGACACAGCCCACTGAGTTTCTCGCCGGACCTTCTCAGTGGCTCGCGTTTCCGATCTAGTTTAGATTCTGCGAAGCACTGCTCTTGCTAGGGTCAGTGTTAGCATCACTCCGATTTGAGCCCCGTGAGCTCACCTACTAGCTAAGGTTACGCTGAAATAGCCTCTCAAGGCTATCAGCCGAGGTAGGAGAAAAGAAATATTTAAATACAAATAAACATATACCATACAGTGGAGTATTATAATGTTTACCCAAACAAATCCACTGTGAACAATAATACTGGTTAGCGAACAATAAGGAGAATTAAAAAAAAAACTTAAAAAAAAAGTTATGAAATAGCCGCCATCTTTTTTTGCATTGAAACAATGGAGATCCTTACATTTTTATACCGGAACGCGTGATTGTTCCACGGCAGAAATACGACGAACATAAAATTTTATTTTTAGCACAAAATCCGTGTTTAGTCTACCTACTAAACGTGTTTAAAACTATCGACGATTGAGTTACGACTCGGTTTTCGTACGCCGTCTGCGTTACTGGACTACAGGAAAATGTTGCGGGAGACATTCCGATCGAATACAGCTAACGTTTCATTAAATGAATATTGTTTTTTTTTAGCATTGCAAAATTATAGGTTAATTATAGGCCCCGGAGGCCTTTCCAGTTTATTTTTTATTTTTATTGCCGTATAGGCAGACGAGCATACGGCCCACCTGATGGTGAGTGGTTACCGTCGCTCATGGACGTCAGCAAAGCCAGGGGCAGAGCCAAGCCGCTGCCTACCGTTTAATACTCTCCAAAAGCCTCGTTTGAAGAAGGACATGTCATAGCGCTCGGGAAACACCTTGGAGGGGAGCTCATTCCATAGCCGGACATAGTTTCACCAGGACAGATAGGCGACAAAGGCTCAGCCAGGAGTGGTGGGATTTGCTAACAGCTGCCCGAGCGCCGCCGGAGGAGACCTAACAACTCAAGAGCAACTGCTTCGCGAATGAATCTACTACCGGATCGGAATCGCGACCCGCTGAGAAGATTCGGCAAGAAACTCAGCGGGCTGATGCATGGGTTAGGTTGCACGTCGAACTCTTTGTCGAGTTTGACGAGCACGGTTACCGGGATCCCTAAGCCTGCTTCTAGTTTTAGAGCTGAGGGCGTCTAATGCAAAGGTTATTGGATCTGATGGATCCAATTAATTAGTTCGGAGTGCTCTAATCGAAGTAGTTCGATTGTAAGTAGGCGAACGTATCACCCGCAAAACAGTCCGTCTACCGTTCTAGAGGCGGATCATCATCACCTTCACCATCATCATCATCATCATCATCTTAATTTTTTTATTTTATTTTATTGCTTAAATGGGTGGACGAGCTGTTATGTGGTTACCGACATCTACAACGTAAATGCACCACCCACCTTGAGATATAAGTTCTAAGGTCTCAAGTATAGTTACAACGGCTGCCCCACCCTTCAAACCGAAACGCATTACTGCTTCACGGCAGAAATAGGCAGGGTAGTGGTACCTACCCGTGCGGACTCACAAGAGGTC